TCGCGAAGATTGGCTGATTACGGTAGGGCCTTTCCGGAAAAGGAGAGAAAAAACGGCGTCTTTTTGCGAAAACTCTCAAGTTTTAGGGGGAATAGCGAAAAAAATTGAAATTATTTTTGTTTGTAATAACTTGTAAGCTCAGATAGAGCACTGTGAAAACACATTTCACCATTTTTATTTTGCTAAAATACGATTTTTTGAGCATTTTTGCGGAAGGGTAGGGATAAGACGGGACTTTTTCAAAAAATCTCAAATTTCAGAGGAAATTCAAAAAAAGTTGGGTTTTTTTTGGTTACTATTTCTTGTTAGTCATCACAAAGTAATTTAAAAATAGTTTTTTGACAATTTTATTTTTTCTAAAATACGATTTCCCCTATTTTTCATGAAAAAATTACTTTCAATTTTTGACCCAAATTACAGTAAGATTTCGAAAAAAATCTGTTTCGATACCTTTACAAGGTCTGTAGAATATTTCAAGTCAATAAAAATTACCGGTCACTACTGTAAAATTGAGTGAAATCCATTTTATTAACCTTGCATCAGCCGGGATTCGAACCCGCGCCAAATCAAACCGTCGCTTAACTTGCCAGATCGGACAAACATCAAATGGGTCGACAAAAAGTGTCATATTTTGCCCTTGTCTTGGCTGAAATATTGAAAAAATTGTAAAATACGTCGTCGGTGAGCAAGACTTTCAAAATGGAATTGGTGGTTGGTCTGAAAAAAATTTTAATTAGTTGATTTTTAATGAAAATATAGAACAATGGTGGGAAAAAACGCGAAAATTCTAAAATACGATTGGCTAAAAAGGCAAAGAATATAATAAAATGGTTGCCTGGACTATGTTAAAGTTTGAAAAATACAAAAATTCCAGAATATTCAAAAAAAAAATAAATAAAAAAATAACAAAGATCTAGTTAGAAAAAATGGTTAATGTAAAATACGTTGAAATCAGTGAGGTGTATCAAAAAAAAAAATGGCGTGCTTTAATGATTTTTGCTACTCGCACTGTGAAGAAAATAAAAGTTCACTTTGCACTGTGCAATTCCCTGTTTTTGCAATGGGATTTATCGGGCTGTCGCTCGCACCCTTTTTCGCACAGTGCAAACGCCAAAAATCGGTCCGGAGACTGTTTGGACGGACTAATAGCGTTTTCATAAAGTGCGTAGACTCTTTTTCGCAGCACACAGTGAATTTTTACACTTTTTGCGTTGTGTGCAATCTGTCGCGCATTTAGAATGACAGTATATTGTAAACTATTCACCATAATTTACAATCACCTATGCTATAATATTTTTATGGCCAGGCGTTGAAATTGAAAAAATCAAAAAGTTGCCTTGGTCCCCCCTTACTATAACTTTGAGGGAAAAATTTTTGGGATAGTGATAGATTAAGGTTTGTAGCATAATTTACAATGCCTTGCGCTATAATTTTTTTCATGGTCAGAGGCTGAAATTTTCTAGGAGAAAAAATTTTCAAAAAAGTTGGCCTTGGTCCCCCCTGACCATATGTTTTTTGGGAAATTTTTTTTTTAATGATAGTAGATTGTAAACTATGCTAAATTGCGTTTAAAAAAATATTTTCAATTGCACAGTGCAAGTTGTTTCGAAAAGGATCGCGTCGCGCAAAATCTCACTGTGCGGTGCAAAAAAACGCCGAAAAAACTGAAAAAGTCTACGCAATTTCTGAAAAAAATGTAAAAATATAGTACTCTTGTTAAAAGAGTCATAAAAAAAAGTTTCACAAAAAAAATTTCAAAAAATCTCATCCGCTAATTACAAAAAAAAATGAAATTCGAATCCCCCTCTAAAAATTTCTCAAAAAAAGTTTCATTAACCCGAGTGTATAATTTGAAGAAAACGCGCCGCGAAAATTACTCATTTCCCTGTGTCGCTTTTGTTTTTGGAAGAGAAAAATGAATTATGCATCGGTGGAAAAAAAAGTTTTTTGAATTTTTGTACGAAAAGTGTTGGGAAACGGTTCGGGAAAAACAAACGCTGTTTTCGGAGAAAAGTTTGCGAACTTTTATTCGAAACGGATTAAAATTTGGGGAAAAGAGGGAAAAATGAATTTTGAGATGAAAATAAACTATTTTAAACTATTCTACTTTCAATAGGTTAAATAAAAATGAGCATAATTTGGGTAAAATTTTCGAGAAATTTGCATATTTTTGAATTTTTGCATAAATATTCAAATTTTTTGGACACTTACCGGCGTTTTTGAAACTTGGTGTAGCTAACAAAAAGTCGTCTTTCGGCACGCTGAACATACTGGTGAAGACCCCGTCTCGCTACGACATCTGGTTCTCGAGTTATGACAAAACAAGTCATGTTACAGTAACCCAAAGCACAGTAAGATTTCGCAAAAAAGTTAACGGGAAAGTTTCTTAGAATGGTACGTAGCAATAGTTTTCCAAGTTTAAAGAAAATTGAAGCAGTTTGATTTTTCGTGTAGCCAGGGCTCTCCAAGCTTAGAAAAAACGTGTTTTAAAGAAATCCCTGTTGGTTCAAAGAGCGTATTTTACCAAAGAGTTATCAAAATTGGATCTTTTAAGGGTTTGTACCTTCATATAAAAAAAAATGTATAAAAAAAAAATAAAAAATATAGCAAAAATTAGCTTCTTTTTTATACTAGGCCTTCCGGAAACCCGCCAAAAGGGGAATATTTGCTGAATTAAACTCGTATTTTACCAAAACTTATCAAAATTAGATCTTGTATAGTGCAAGATAAAATTTCTCTTCACTTCAGCGACCCGATGGCTGAAGTGATTCATTATTTTCCCGACAGACTGATTTCCGTGGCAATTTTTTTGAAAAAAATATTAAAAGCAAAACAATTTCTTGGATTTAATTTTTGTCCCAAACATCTTTTCGAAAAAAAATTAAAAAAAAATTGCATAAGGGAGTGCCGAAAATTTTGGGACACAAAAAAATTGCAAATGCCAAAAAACACACAAAAAAAAGAGAACAGAAAAAAATGGAAGGGGAGAGCGCGATGAATTGGCTGGAACTTAATCGGCGCTTTTGATCAGGAATTTTTTATTTTTATTTTTTTTTTGCGATTCCAAAAATGAATAAAAAATATTTGGAAGATAAAAAAACTAAATTAAAAATCCAGAAAAATAATTGAAATTCAAAAAAAATGTTTTTCAAATCACCAGCGTATTTTACAATGGCAAAAAATGACATTTTTTTTTGTAATTTTTTGCCATGAAAAGTTTCATATCTATTTCTACCGTAGCGAGTAATGTTTCCACAAAAAATCAGTTTTTTCCACACAAAACTGGCAAAGATATGGCCAAAAAATGATTTCTCTGTGTCGCTCTCCGCGTTTCGCGTACTCTCTCGGCGGCAAAGATCGTTCAATATCTCGGCTATTTATGTAAAAAGAGAGCTAAAATTCTCTGTAATTAATATGTGGCATATGCCAAAAGTGTGTGTAAAAATTGGAGAAAATTTTAGCGTCGGAGAACTTCCATTGAGAATAAAAATCCAAAAAAAAAGAACTTATTGAAGCTCCAAAAAAAATGTTATTCATTTTTTTGTAGTTTAACGACAAAAAAAAGTATTATTTTTTTGTTTTTATTCAAATTTTTTATAAAGTCGTATTTTACAAAAAAAAATTTTTTTAGTTTTTTTAGTTTCGTATTTAACAAAAAATTTCTATTTTTTTTGATTTTTTTTTAATTTTTTTTTTGCAAAAAAAATCTATTTTTTGATTTTTAGACTTTTTTAGGTTCGTATTTTACAAAAAAAATTTTTATTTTAAAAAATTTTTTTAGTTTTTTTAGTTTCGTATTTTACAAAAAATTTTTTTTTAAAAATATTACACAATCTACCAAGAAAATAAAACACCAATTTCCCCTCTGATTTCTCCAATTTCCAAAAAAATAATAACGAAAAAACGAGCCAATTTTCGAGTGGACTGTGCACTTTTTTTCTTTATTAATTTTTCCCCCCCCACTTCGACCCCCAATTACGGACGAAATTGGCACAAAAAATGGTCCGAATTACGAGCAGATCTTCTTTTTGCGCGGTTCAAGGGTCAATCGGCGAAAGAGCGGGGCGAAGTGAGAGAGTGGCGAGTTGAAGAAAAAAAGATAAAGGGAAATTGAGAGAGTGGGGAGGGCGAAATTATGAATAATTTGCAAAATGAAGGTCATTGGGGCTGGAGATGGGGAAATTTGAGGTGGAAATTGCTATTTTTATCTCGATTTTAGGTATATATCAGCTTGTCGGGAAAATAATGAGCACTGAAAAATCCTCAAGAGGCGATTATCCGAAATTTTAGCTTATGCTTTCCAAAGGCATAAGCTAAAATTCAACAATCTTTTCAGACCAAAGACTATAAAAAATTAAGCTATCAGTCTGTCGGGAAAATAATGAGCACTCTGTCGCATCGAAAATCACATCGCCGCCAAGAAAATGAGTTGTGTCGCGACAAAATCAAAATGCTTTTCCACTTCAGCAACGAGGATTGGCCCAGCGAAATTGTGCTCATTATTTTCCCGACAGATTGATATTTTGTCAAATTTGTTGCGCTAAGCAATCACTCTTGTCTCGGACTAAAGAGCAATCACATTTTTCAATTTTTTTCTTCCGTTTTCTCTTACAAGTGTTAGTCGCACGACGACAAGTGAAATTTGCGGTGCACGCGGAATTTTTCGCAGTTTGCTGATTGGTTATCGAGCAAAGCCACTTTCGTGAAGCTGACCGAAAAGATGTCAGGACCTTTTGGCCCGCATGGCACACTGTGTTCGGCTACAAGAAATAGCGGAACAGAAGTTATCTTTTAAACATATAAAGCTGAACCTTCGAAATTGCTCGTTATGTTTTGTTGTTGGAGAAAAATCTCCATGTAAGGGAGAATATCAAGACATCAAAGGAGAGCAAAAAATGAGAAAAAAGTCTTATTTTTTAAACTCATATTATGTCATGAAACTTCTTCAGAGGATTCCGACTTTTTCTTCCCGGAGAGCGGTCGGTTTTTCCTGTCCACCTATGCCGTTGCGGGCACAAAGGGCTTCGCCTGCGACAGTAGCTGTTCATCCAAATGGATTTCAAGTTCCTACTGTCAATGTCGGATCAATCCAAAACGAGGGAAAATTGGAGCAATTCAAGAAATTGTTGGAAACGGAAGCGATCAGTATGAATTCGACATCCCCTTATACACGACCGTTTGGGCGCTTCAGGATGGAATGGATCGACGATGCTGGCCAGAATCATGGCCTCCGATGGAGCGATCCTACCCTGACCGGGCAATGGAAACCATTATGATTCACTCCATGACTTTTTGCATGTGATTAGTGTAAATAAATTGAAATTGAACTTCTTCAGAATTAAAAAAAAATCAAAAAATTTGCTATATTTTTTTTCATTTTTTTTGTTTTTCTCAAAATTCCACAGATTTTTCCTTCCAAATCCAAAAAACAGAGAACAAAATGTATCAAACACCCACACCGGAACATTACATCTCACCTTTTTTTTGGGGCTAATCGAACATTACACATCGTCGGTCCCATGTATAACGCGCGATAAAACAAATTCCGAAAAAAAGTTATTTTTTCGACTCGAATTTCAACGAAATTGACTGTAACAAAACTTTTCCGTTCGTAAACAAAACTTGACAATGTTGGGTCTTAAAAAGTGGCTAAAAATACGCGGCAAATTGACTGGAATTTCGATATCAAAAAAATGGGGAGGAATATCAAAAAAATGGTCGTTTTGAAAAATAGAAAAAATAAAAAAAAAGTTTGTTTTGTGATGAAAGCAAGTAAAATCGGTGTTAAAAACAATCAAAATAACAAGTAATAAACTGGCTACTAAACAAAATTAAAATTTTTTTCAGTTTCAGAGCATATAAAAAAATTTTGGGTCCCACCACGAAAACATGATTTGGTTTAAAATTCGTTTATTTTGCTTCTGATGAATGCCATAGTGTTCTACTAAACCATTAGAACACTACTTTTCCTAAAATCGCCTCAGGCCAAATGGAAAAAGTTGATTTTTTGGTCGAAAAAAGTCAAAAAAACATTACAGGGTGGGGCATCTTTGTGGCCCGATTTGAATTGGCTATAACTACTTTAGTTTTTGGCCAAATTCTAAAATTCTTTTTTCCCTGAATCGTCAGCCAACCCCATTTTGTTTGATACCAAATATGTTATACATAGTAAGTGTATATCTACAGTTATTGGATTTATTCTCGGAGTTCATTTTTTCGGTCGTTTTTCGGTTGTTTTTTCGGTCGTTCCCGGTGTGTCCGGAAATGGAGTACGATGCGGAAGAAAAATACGGTGGAATTTCCCCTCCCGAAAATCGACGATGAAAATAAGAACAAAAAGTGAAGATCAACCTCCAGAGTTCGTCGAATGGCCCTTGCTGAAGGCATTCCCTCGGTTCTGGCCAAGCTTCGTGTACTGATATGCGGGGTTTTTCGGAATTTTGACAAAACTTCTTAAATTTTCAGCTCCGTTCGAACTCATGTTTCCTGCTTTTTTTGTTTCCTGTTAACGCTGCCAGTCTCAAGGAACTTATACCACGAACGTCGAATTGTCTTGCAATCTGGAGGTTAGGCATTACGTCCGTATTTCATGCGGTATCCCCGTTTGAAAATTTATTGCCGAACCGTACTTGCTATACGAAACCACAGACCAAGCTTTTTCTTCCGCACCGGACTCCATTTTCGGACACACCGGGAAAGACCGAAAAAACAACCGAAAAACGACCAAAAAATGAACTCCAAGAATAAATCCAATAACTGTTGATGACACTTACCTATGTATAACGTATTTGGTATCAAACAAAATGGGGTTGGCTGACGATTCAGGTAAAAAAAGAATTTTAAAATTTGGCCAAAAACTAAAGAAGTTATAGCCAATTCAAATCGGGCCACAAAGATGCCCCACCCTGTATTTTTTATATGACATTGGACAAAATGGGTACCATAAAATTTGAGTAAAATCTATACTAAGCGTTTTACAAGTCATGGTTATTTAGATTTTTCGGTTTGTGACAATTTTGAAAATAATTTTTGGGTCCCACCACGAAAACCTGAATTTCCCTGAAATTCATTAATTTCCAACCCAATCAACGTCTTATGGTCTCAAAAACAATTTTTCGTCAATTTTTCCCAGAAAACTCCCTCAGGGCATGAAATTCCAATCAAATTTCCGGGTATACCAAAAATCAAAAAAAAATCCAAAGTCCGCCGGAAAAATTTCGAAAATCGAGATCAAAACGATAAACCCAATCGAGAGCACGTTGCAAAAACAATCCCCTGCGCGGCTAACAACCGGGTCATTGACGAATCCGTCGACGACGAACAAAGTTCGAAAAAATCATAAAAACACGGCGTCTTTGACCGGATTTTTCGTTTTTAATCGTCGAAAAATTCGAGAGAATCGGAGAGCAACGCATCGGAAATTGAAATTAGAGAAGTCTTTTAGCATTGCAGATTTGGAGAATTGAAAATTTCTTAATTTTCAGGGCGATTTGAAAGGATAATTTGAATTTTTTGGGATGAAATTAGAAGGAAAGGACAAAAAATGTCTTAAAAAGCGGTTAAAAAGTAGTTTAAATTACTTATAACTTGCGTAAAATTGTATTAAATTTTATTTTAGGTATTTTTTAACCATTTTCAAGCAATTTCAGGGGTTGAAACAGAATGCCAAAATTTCGTGGTGAGACCAAAATAATTGCATTTTTTGGACTTATAAATGAGAAATAGCAGACTTAATGGCCACCGTTTCTATTTTTAATAATTTTTTTTTTCAAATTACATAAAAATTTCAAAATAAAAAAAATTAAATTTTCAAAAAATTCAAGATTAAAAAAATCCACAGTAACTTGTACATTAATTTTTGATAAAATTACTGCAATTAGCTGGTAGTTTGAAATTCTAATTCCGCCAAATCTGTCGCTAATCCATCCAAAAAAATGAATCACAAATTTAATTTTCCAAAACTTCGAAAAAACACGGCTCTGCATCTCGTGATGGCTCCGGCCCTAATCCGGTTATAGGGCTTTATTAGCCCTCGAAGCCCGAAATTTTTAATGGACTTTATTGCGAAAAATTTTCAAAATTTTTCGCAAAATTTGCCACTAATTTAACGGATTTTGTGGGGATTATGGTACACTGTAGTAGGGAGCTATAGATTTTTTGAGGGGAAAGTGGTTTGTTGACCATAGAAAATTTGGTTTTGGGGTCAGAAAGAACTTTTTAAAATTTTTATGGCAAAAGCTTCAATCAAAATTGAAACGCAAATTACCCTAAGGGCAGAAGTTGTATTTTCTTCAAATTTTCTAGAAGTGATGTATTTGGTAAGCTTATAAATTCCTGAAAGTTTCAGCCCATGGTTTGCATAGACAGCCGGGATATTTAACATTCTTTTTCAGGCGAGAGACTATGGAAAACGAGGAGAGACTGCCAAAAAAATGTTTTTTTAGCCGTACCATCGGTTTTTTCAAGCGGTAAAATGTAATTTTTCGTACAAATAAAGGACTACAAACCTAGAAATAAATTCCAGTTTTTATTTCAAAAAATAAAAAAAAAATAATTTTATTTTTGAGATTTTTTATCCAAAAAGTTGGTAAGTGTAAAAAACCTCGATTATGCCCTAAACAATTCTAGCTAAATCTTCTCAACTATCGTAAAAACATCTGCGTCCTTTTTGGAGCATATTTTGCAAACTTTTTGGTCCCGCAACGAAAATCCGAAGTGCTTGGCATTCCGCAACAACTGCTTCAAATAGCGGAATTAGACAAATAACGGGTTTATAAATTGGTTTTACAGTGATTTACAACGTTTTTCAAGTCGTTTTTATGGCTCTATTTTCCTAAAGATTCAAAAATTACAGTATGCCAAAAAAGTCGAGAAAATTTTGATTTTTTCCCGAAATTGCGTAAATGCAGAACACTGAAATTTCGCCCAGCCCAACTCTAAACCTTTTACGTCAAAATTTCAAATTTATCAGCCGTCATTACCTGCCACAGCTAACAAGATTACCGAGAGACGTTCATCAATGTCGCAGTAAACACTCTGCAGACGCTCACAATTGGCTTTGCCAATTGTTTCTAATCGCAAACGTTCCATTTCTTTCCGCAAAATGTATATAAATGCTAATCCCCCGAGATTTGCGAATTTCGCAGCGCGCTACCGTAATCCACGATTAGTCATGTAAGCCGGGCCGTGTTTTTGGTTAATCATTTTTCAGTCATTTCAGTGCGTAAGATGTGAGTGTTTTGCAATCTTGTTGATGTAATCGCTACTCAGGCCGTATTGGAAATGGGCGTGACATTGTTTTTCCAACCGGTTTTGCGGCGTTTTGCAGGTTGATGCGGAATGCCAAAGTTTGTAGTGACATTGGATATGGGCAAAAACAAATTTAAAATACAGAGTATATCTATTTAGAACGGTTTAATTCATTTTCAGCCATTTTTTCCAATTTCAAGTTTTCGTGGTGGGACCGAAATTGAAAATTTTTTTTCTCAGATTCAGTCAAAACAGGTACAAATATATACACTGCGTATATCAAAGACAATCTTGTAGTATTTTAAAAATTTTTGCTGTTTTATGTTTTCGTGGTAGGACCCAAACTTAAAACCCCATAACTCCAAACATCCCGACTAACTTTACAACTCGTCAATAAAGCCCAAAAGTAAAGTTAAAGCATTTTCCAAGCGCTCGTTTCAAGGGCCGATTTGAAAACCCATCAATTACACCCAGGACTTTTCCCGATCACGCACTGTTTTGTTTCTTTATTGAGCAAATTTTGTAAAATTTCGCCAAAATAGCGACGAAAAAAGCGCTGTAATCCTAAACTTTGAACGTTTCTTGCAAAATCAAGCATTTTTTGGTAAAAAAGGAGCAAAACAATAGTCGATACTTTTGAGATTTTTTAGTTTTGGGAAATCGATTTGGGTCCCACCACGAAAAATTGAGGATCTTGGAAAGAGTTGGCAATTTGGAAAGGAGGTAAAATACGATCGAAAATGAATGATTTTTTGTTTAAAGCAGCAAAATAATTTTTGTAATTTTTGAGATTTTTCAATTTTCGAAAAATCGATTTGGGTCCCACCACGAAAACTTGAGGATCCTGGAAAATTGGATATATTCAAAAACAGTTTTAAAATACGACGAATGGTTCTCTTTAAACACTTCTATTTAATTCTGAAAAGCAAGAATATCAATTTTCAAAAAAATGGGTCCCACCACGAAAACATGAAAACCTTCAAAATGCCTTTAAGATTCTCTAAAACCATCAAGAATCGTCAAAAAA